CATTAGGCAGTTGCAAAAAAAATATTTTGAGACTAGAAAGGCAGAATATGGTTGTGACCAGGCCTATTAAGTGACTGTTATGATTGTTATGCTAGACAGAGTTCCTGAAGTTCAGAGCAGACTGTTTTAATTGGTTAATATAATTTTAAATTCACACTCCTCTCTTTTCTCCTTTTTTTTTTTCTTTTTTCTTTTCTCCTTTTTAACCTAGTATAGCAAAAATTCTGTACTGAGCTGTCCTGAGGGTCACAAGAGACTTGTGTTTAAGATTCTTTCTGAAATTCCTGTCACAGATCAATCAGATGGTTTATGTAAACTAATAATCTCACTTATTTTGCATCCCCTGGCTGCAGTCCTCCTCCTGAAACTTGAGTGTCTCAGGTTACACTTGGAGCCAAGTGTTTTGGAGAAGACTGAACAAGGCTGTTCTAATTTGCTAGTGTTATGTGTGAAGAAGTGTTATCTGAGAAAGACATAGAGCAGACACACCACTGCTGGTTCTGTGCCCTTCCGTAGCGCTTTTCTCCATGGCATGGGCTTCCCCTTTTTCAACTTGTCTCCATCCAATAAATAATAAATTAAGGGATGAGGTTTGGTTGATCAAACATATAAACATGAACTCTCATTCAAGTACCATATCAGGGTAAGTGAAACAGAAAAAATTAATAATTTCATTTTATTTTTAAAGACTGTTTGCTTGTCTGTTGTTTCTTTTCATAGCATAATCACATTTGTTCTTTGGTTGTGGATGGCTTTTGTGACTTTTTCAGGTAAAATGGGGATGTGCAGAATGTCTGATAAGCTGGTGGCAAGGGCACTCCCATGTAAGGTTAAGGATTTGGATTCAGGATCCAGCTATGAAAAAGGCAGCTCAAGAACCCAAGTCTGTCCCTCTGGTGTCTGTATATTGCTTATCCTCACTCATCCTGGGGCAAAGTCCAGTAATTGTTAGTTTTGGTTAAGTTAATTCACTAAACCACCCTGCCCTCAGCCAAGGTGAGCACTGTTACTCCTGGCCTATGTCCTGATCTGGTGTGTTTCTCCTATATCCAGTTTGAACAGAAAATGTTTTTCAGTTTTAATAAACCATCATCTTTATTTCTTTCAAGACATTGTCAATTATTGTGTGGAGACAGCCTGCTAAATGCAGTTATGGGCCAGACAAAATACTATCATAATGTGCAAGGCAAACTCACTGCTCTATTTTTGGCATTTGTACCGTCGTCCCCTGATCCTGACAACAAACTCAGGGCTCTGGAAGGGCCCATGCAAACTCTCATCTCTGACTAGACTAAAGCTTTCTCACCTAAAGGCTGTGATTGTCTTTGAGAAGATGATTGTTCTGATTGTATTAAAATGGAGCTGGACTAAATGGTTTTTCAGCCAGACTGGTTACTTAGAGAGAATGCACAGTGTATTTTGCAGCAGTACCATGTTTTTTCTTTGTATCCTATCTCATTTAATGGAGTTGTCTGTGGGTTTTGAAAGGTTTCAAACGCTCAAGAACACCTGCAATTAAAATGACAAATTTTATGATTGTGTTTAATAATGCTTTCTAAGCTGACCCACATAGATGCAAATAATTCTGTCCTCACAGAGCACGGATGGCTCTTATCTCCCTCTTTTGGAGTATTTAGGTGCTCAGGGCACGAGAAACAGCCATGCAATTCATGCAATTTATAGCGGAAGTTAATGTCCCTGGCATACCGTATGAGAGTGTAGCCTGTTGTTAAGGGATTATAAAAATGAGAAATGTTCCTAATATATTCAACCTACCTTCAGTAATGGCCTCAGACCTTGAGAAATCTACGATCTGCTCCCAGAGAGCTTGCTGTGAAGCAGCACAGCAGCTAGGTCCTGTGGATACACTTCTTTCATTTTCCTTCTTAGGAATTGCATGTTTTATATTGACTTACTTTCCTTTTTTCTTCCTTCTGCTACCAATGTTTAGCAAGTGGAAATTCAATTGCCTCCTTCCACCTTTCATTTAAACCATGACAATATCATTTCTGTATCTCAAACCAACCTACCAGGCCAGAGTGTGACTATAAGTATACTCTGGATGATTTATCTCTCCTGTGATAACACTAAAGCTATTATCTTAAGAATGTTCTTTCTAATTTCTCCCTCTCTGCACAGAGAAGGTGAAGAGGAACAAAGACTGGGCAGTCCAAGTCCTAATATTAGTAAAGATTTGTGTGTGGACTTGAAGTCGCTTACATAGTGATCTCACTGGAGCAGGACACCCTTTCCTGGGTCCACTGGCCAGCCCTGGATATTGCAGGTACCACTGTTCCATAACCCCCTACAAAAGCACCAGATTCCCTACTTACTGCAGTACAGTGTTTCCCCCTGCTACTTCCACACAAAGCTGTTCCACCGTTTTAGGACTCTGGTTACCCCTTTATCATCACTTACCTGGTCTATGCATACATGTCCTTGTGTCAATATTCCCCCCCCCCCCTTTTTTTTTTAATAGGCATTGGGGGATTACTTCTAAGATTTTGTTAGTCCCTCAGCTTTCCTTGGGGGGGGGGGGGGGGGGGGGAAAGTTTTATAAAAAGACAGCCTGGATCAATAGTGTGATTATCTTTTAAAACACACAAGGAAGGAGACATTTCTGCATCAATGGTAAACTCTTACACTGCTGCTAAAGTATTTCTAAGCTCACATTTTAGGTCAAGTCAGACTACGCCCCAGTATGCTAAGTTAAGCTTGTTTGTAAAGCTCTGCAAGGTCAGTACTTCAGTTGTTAGGGGTTACAGTCAAGACAGCGAAACAGAGAGGAGAGGAAAAGTATGAATTAGGGCACAGCTTTCAAAGTTATTCAGTGATGCGGCTGATGTAATGCAGCTGAACAACCTGATGACTTCCTGTGTGCATTAAGGGTCTGGGAGAGGTGTCTGAATAACCTGGAGGAAAAGTCACTGTCAGCAGGGCCTGCCAGGTGTTTTGTTTGTGTCTCTGATTGTTTGTTGGTTTTAAATTAATGCTAAATCACAATCAATTATGTCAAGCTTGTAACTGGGTGAAAATGATGACTGGCCTCTCCCAGAAAAGGGTAGGACACACGATGTGGAGAGAGCATGTGACAGGGCTGTTCAAAATAGGCAATTTGGACCTGGACAACCTGCTTAAGAATAGAAGAGTTGAGCAATATGGCCCCAGTCATGTGTCCTCTTACCTTTTCTGTTTAGTTCACCTATGAAATATAGCTACCACATAACTAAGTTGTCATATGTTGCATCAGCTATCAAAGTCTTTCTTTTCCCATTTATGACTATATTTTTCAAGCTAGCTGCTTGACTCAGCAGCTTCAACTGCCTATGAAAACATGTTTATTGTTTGGATTCTTCATTTTTGCAACTATCTGAGTTTTGTAAAGCATGCAAAACTGCCCTGAAAGGCTAATTTGGGTTTCATGGTGTCTAATTGCAGGTACAGACCTGGAACGTGAATTTGCCAAGTTATTTGTAGAGGTCACTCTGAGGCATGTTGCCCTCCTGTGCTGTGTAAACCTGCAAAAATGCAGAGCAGGCCATGTTAAAGCACTGAGACACTAAGGCACTAAGGCTACACTGTAGGCAGCATAAAACCACTCTCCATTCTTCTCTTTCTATGTAATAAATCATGCTTCTTTAAAGTATTTATACATTAAAGGAAACTCATCTGAACTATGATTACTCTGTTCCCCTATTCCATTTTATTTAGAATCACTCAAGATTTATCAAATTATGACTGAAATTCTCAGTTGACCATTCATTGCATCACACATTTCATGTGCATTATATTCACATCTTCTCCCATAGATCCCCTCACACTGCTGAATTTTGCTGCCAGTTGCACACAGCAATAGCTTGTGCTCATACTGGTGAAATCAATCATTCTGCACTTCCTATTACTTTCTCTTAGCTGTAACAAGATAGATTTTTATTCGTGAGATGAATGTTTTCTCAAACTTTCAAGCTAAAAAGCTCTTTAACTCTTCTCATTTAGGGAGTAGTGTAAGCAAGCTCACAAGGTTATTCATCACCTTGTAATCTACCTATCTGAAATACTTGTGCTGATATTTATGTGGTCCGCAATCACAGCTGCATATGAGAGTCCTGCAAACTTTGCTGTGCAACATCCCAATTACCTGGGAGCTGTTATCCTTCCTGTTTTAGAAAAATGCTCTGAGGTGTGTCCAGTGTTTGACTGGCAGAAGAACAGTCATTGTCCACACTCTGAACCTAACTGACAGTGCACAGTTACACTGACATAGCTCCAGGCCCAAGTTTAATAACCTGTCATTCAACAGGGATGCAAACAATTCGGGGTGCCCCACTTGTATGCAGCTGTATGCTATCTGCATCTCTGGAGCTCCAGGCTTAGAAAGGCTTTCACCTCCTAGAAAAGACCCCATTTAAATACAGCTGTTGTGTTCCTCTAGACTCAGGGCTGTCACTGTGGCCTCAGAACGTGGTGCAGACTAGCAGAAAGAAGCTGGGTCAGTTCAGGCTGTGGCAGAAGGTAGCTGCTCCATTTGTCTCTAATGAGGTATAACTTTGGCTGCAGCTGCCCAGAACACCAGAACAGAGCCCGGTATATTCAGTCACCCAGAAATGGATGTTTCCTATATGCAAACGAAGTGGAAAGCATGTCAATATCGTGGGAGCAAGCCTGGGAGTTAAAACAACAGAGCCTGTCAGACGGAAAAAGCGTCCGTGAGGGGAGTTGTGCCATTGCTCAGCTCAGACACCCGCAGCTGGGCTGGCTGGGAGCAGAGCACAGCTCTGAGGCTGGAGAATACCCAATGGGTCTGCTCCTCGCCATCTGCTCCCCATCCATGCTGCAGTGAAGCCCACCTTGCACTGGAGCCAGTGCCCTGGCAATCCGTAAGTCAAGTCTGTAAACTGAATATTGTTAATTTGAGTGTAGTTTTCAACCAGACATAGTTTTATATAAATTTTATACCCCCAAATATTCACTGTTGAATTTCCATGCTGACAAATACTCACTGTGAATTACCTGCAGCAGCAGCATGGCTCGCTTAATTTGGAGCAGCTCAGCCCCTCTGCACCCCTCTAAGGAGTCTTCACATCAGCCTTGGGTTGCTGCTGGGGAAGGCAGTCAGTAAGATCATTGGCTCTGTATCAGCTTGGCATGGCATGAGCTTGGCATCCTTTACATGTTCTTCCCTCCTTGATTAAAAAAAAAAATGTGAGAGGTGGTGAGTGTTCCTGCTAATTCCATTCTGCACAGAGGTTTATGGGCTGCAGTCATCAGCACAGATAACAGCACAGGCTGGAACTTTCAAAGGGCAATAGGAGGTGAGGTGGCTGCTCCTGGACATCTCTCCCCCAGCCCAGGTATGAGCCCTTGAGCCATGGGTGATAGGCTCTTTGGAGAAGTGCCAGTCTTCTTCATATGTTGATTCCCTGATTAATGGAATAGCCAAAATGTAAGTTCCTTTTAAGGGAAATGAATCAGTTGAGACAAAGAGGGGAAAAAAATAACAGATTCAATTTTAAAATTGAGCTAAGGGAAGATTTTTTAACCACTAAAATAGTCACAGTTCACAATGTAACTTTGTTTTCCATGTTCTCTGTGAGATACATTCCCTCAGCAAGCAAATCTGAAACAATCAATTCAAAAACTCATTCATGAGAAGACAGCAGAGGTGGTACTGCAACACTGCTACTGCACAGTACCTCTATTAACTGTAAATATGATCTCAGGAAAAGAATATCAAACATTTCAAAAATCTCCATGTCAGAAAGGGCTCAGATATTTCAATAGGAGAGATGTCTCTCTCCTACTTTTGCTGAAATTATGTTTACTTCAGCTAATGGAAATAGTGGAGCTATGCGGGATTTTCATGTGCTGGGTGGTAAGTGTGCAGAGCAACAGGGTCAGGGTGCGCCTCATGCCTCTTCCACAAAGTGTGTCATTTGTTTATACCATATTTCCAAATGATTTCAGGGAAGCTGTGTTTGTGTGTCTGACATCAATTGGGACAGCCCTGTCCCAGAGTGATCCTCTGCCATTAAAAATCATTCTTTTAGGTGTCAGACTACAGGACAGCCTAGCAACTCAGGACAGCCCTGGAGGTAGGCACTTTCCTCCTCATTCTACACCATCTGAATCACCCTGATTTAAGGACATCTGCATAAGTATGTTAGTGTCACTATTATCCAAGCTGAGATTTCCAAAGCTAGCTCAGATGCCCAGGGGCCTTTGAAGCATGCAGGATTTGCATGACAGGATTTCAGGGGGACTGGGAAATGCCATCATTTTGACTCTTAACCAAACATCAAGCACCTCCCCATGCAAGTTAACCAGTGAATATTGATGCTTGTTGGTAGCCACCATCTTACATGTGGAAGTGAAATGTCCATACAACCAGGCAACGAAAAGAACTGCCATGAAAGCAATGCGAAATTTGTGATCATATTATCAGGCCTAGTCACTCTGCAAACAAATGGACATCTGTGTCCTCTCTCCTGAGGCTACTTGTAATCATTACGTCTGCAAACCCTGTGTGATTGTCGCAATGACTGTGTAAAGAGCAGCCTTTTTACATGGTATTTCAATCCTCTGCTTTCAGTCTGTGTTGGAGCAGAAAGGAGGGTGGAGTGCAGGGAGTTGCCTCACCTCTTGGGAGACTGGGAGGGTCGTTTTCAATGAGGGTTCATGCTGAGGTTTGGGATGGCTGTGGGGAGGAAGGAATTTGTTATCATCTATGGTTAACTTAGATGAAGAAATTTCTTTGCACATCTTTAGTGTGCTACTTGCAAGGTAATTTGTCCTTTACTTTTACAACTGCTTCATCCAACAGATACAGTGACAGCTTAAATGTTTGAAAGAGTACTGCAAGCTCCTTTCAGAATGAAACAAAACAAAACAAAACAAAAAACAAACAAACAAACAAACAAACAAACAAAAAAAAAAAAAAAAAAAAAAAAACAGAACTAGAACTTTATCTTGTACTGCCCTGAAGAGCTCCAGGATGCTGTTCTTAATGCATAGTTCTTCAGCAGCTGCCTCCCTTAAGCCCCTCCAAGGCTCTCAGAGGATGCCCAGCCCCACCTGGGCTCCCTGCTGCAGACGGTTTGCACATGCACTGTTTTCTCCAAATGTCCAAGCAGGAAACTCAGGCATACAGGCTGCAAGGATTTATAGCACACTCCATCCAGACCAAGATCTAGATGATAAAGAATGACAGACCCACAGTCTAGATATAGCCAGAGACAAGTTTATGCATGTCTCCATTTCACCTGCACTGAAAATAAGAACCGTGGGACCTCATTATCAGCAAACTAGAGAGAACTTTCCTCATCTAGTTCCAGGAACTATGTTAATGTGAGATAAAAATTATAGACGAACATTTTTTCTTTTTCTTGGTCAGTGTACAGTCTATTTAATATTAATACCTTGGGTCTCCCTCTTGGGACTTGCTGTTCTCCATTTGTGTCTCATTCTATCACTCATGCAGATATTGGTAAGATTTGTGTCCTCTTTTCCAGTAATTAATTTCAGCAGTACTGCATGCCAACCATAAACTTTTGCATGCCATAGAAAGTTTCAAATGCCAGCCTTTCTATTTTCAGGATTATAACAACATGTCTAACCTCCAAAACACACTGTTCTTAATGTACTTGTGGAGCTTCAGCCAATGATATCAGGCCAGATCCTTTAAGGATAAAAAACTAATTGAGGGGATAGCTTCATCAGCAAAGATAGCTGATAACATAAGCATGTGTATATTAAGCTCTGTGAATAAATGTTTCCTGTAGAATAGCCATGCAAGAAGATGCTTGGTATTGACATACCTTTACCAATTTGTATGGCTATATGCACCAAATTTGAGACCTTGTCTATGAAAGAGATTGATAAATAAATGTATAAAGACATCTAGTTGAGCCACAGTAAGATATGATGTTTGGTCATCATTTTACTTCAAGAGAGACTTCTTCAGCCTAGCTTGCATTGGTTCTTACATGTAAGCACACTCTTCACAAATAAATAAATATTAGTCATATCAGAAAACTGTGAGTTCTTAACACACCAGTTAAAACACCTAGCAGAGATGCAACAGGCCAAGCTAAGTACCTTCCCTGAATCTTAACTTACACAAACTGCAAACAGGCTCAACCAGGACAGAGTATCCAGCAAGGCAGAGGTGAAGGTATGCCCTGCAGACATGAGAAATCTGGATTCAAGGTCCTAATTCAGATTGGGTAGAATGGGAATTCCTGCACAAGCTTACTTCCTCATGAGCCTTCAACCTGTAGCAGGTACGTCTCTTTTCCTGCTGAATCCTTCACTGGAGCAGTGTGTTGAGGAACTCCTGGTAGAGGCATGTGCCTCTCCCACATAGGCCAGTGCAGTCATTGCCAGCAGGGCCAGCTCTCCCGTCCTCCCCAGGTGATCTTGGTGGCTCATAAGCCACCCCTTCATTTTGAGGCACTCCAGGTGCTCCCTGCCATGCACTGCAGCAGCAAATGAACATTACCCTGACAGACAGAGGCACTGGGCAGCAGGGCACTTTTGAAAACAAATTGTTTGACAAGAACTAATCCTCTCTCCAGCTTCTCAGCAAACAGGAGTGAAAATAAACACTTGAACATTTGCTGACCGGACTCAGACACTAGCTCCACCTGTCCTGCCAGCAAACACTGGGCCTAATGTGCTGAGGCACTTCAGGATGTACAACAGTAAAGGCCGCCAGCCTTTACGCCAGCTCTTAAGCTGCCTAACCAACATGCTGGGGATGGGGAGCGCTTCCAAGTCTAGGACACAAATCATGAATAAAGTGGTTTCAGAGACACTTCAATCAACTTTCCTATATGGACACCCTGGTGATAAACTGCAATGGTTCACCAGTGACTGCAGCCTAGAGTCAATCACTTCTGTCAACCTTTTTCTGCCAGGGGAGGCAGCAGCCACAGGCTGTAATTTCCAAAGACCTTATCCTGGGGATGGCTTTGCCTCAGGCCACCCCCTCTGCCTGGGGGATTGGCAGCATTTCAGCTGCCTTTCAGTTCAAAGATTAGATTGAAAACTTAGCTTTTGTGAATCGGGTTATTTTAGCTGCCCGTTTTTTGAATACAAAGCTCTGTGACAACATGTGTGAAAATCAACTTCCTTAGCCTCTGGCCCCAGCCAAGGCACCCATGTGAGATGCTCAGGTGGGCATCTGGTGTATTTCTGTCTTTCTGACCCAGGTTAGCTTTCTTCAGACAGGTTCTTAACTTAGTCCTTGGAGACAAATGTGGGGGATAAAAGAAGAAAAGAAAGGGAAAAAAAAAAAAAGCCTCTCCAGATTTAATCATCCCCAAGGGTAAAGCAATGTGCAATTGGTAAGAAAGGTCACTGAGGGTCAAGAGGATTCAGGGAGGAAAGTGCCTTTCATGAGGAATTGCAAATGTTTACTTTAAACAAGTATTTAAAAAGTCAAGATCTTGAAAGAAGCCATATGTTTTGATTTTGAGACCAATTAGTCTGCCTCATCTGCAGTTTATTCTGTGGATTTTTCTCCTTTCACTTCTTCTGAAGGCAAGGAGGCTAATGTGCCCACACAGCCCCTGAGAGGCAAGAAGCCGGGGCAGCTGCCTGAAATGATTTTTAGAGATGCACTTGAGAATGCTTTTCAGAAATTCTGCACAAAGAAAAGAGGAGTTAGACACTGCCTCACTGGACTAGGGGAGCTCTGGCAGTCAGCACCCCACAGCACTGATCTGTTTGTTTTTGTTTATACTCTCTGGTATGAGTGTCCTTAAGAGTTAGTTAGGACTTTGTTTGCATATCTATTTATTCTACTTTCAGTCTTTCCATGAGGATTTATTTTCTTTTTAATTTCAGGAAGGTGCTTGTCAGCACACATAATATCACAAGAAAATAAAAACATATCATGAATAACTGATGTCACCCAAATGAATCCCACTAGCAATATTTTATTTGATATTTGGTCCTTGTCAGAACAGATAGCCTCTGGAAAAAATAAAAAATAAAGATAAAAGCCAATATGAAACAGTCACCCTCTTCATGTATAGGTGTTTCTGTTACATTTTTTACCTTGGTCTCGGTTCATGCATACCACAGTCAATGCTAAATGCCCCAGGAGGTGGAATGAGGACCAAAGTATTCATCTTCATCAGTTCAACAATACATATATGCCATATAAATGTGATGATTTGCACAGCATGACTGGGAAATGCCACAACAACAGGTATTTAGGCACTCAGCACCTTCTCCATTTCTGCAGCCAGAGTATTCTAGAATTGAATGGCAGTTTTGGTTACAAGTCTATTAGATCAAGGGGTGCCTGAATTCAACATCAGTCATGTTAATTCGTCAGAATCCTCTACATAAATTCAGATGAAAC